GTCTCTTCCCCAGTGTATAGGCTTGGTGCCTTTGTCAAAGATCAGATGGCTGTAGATGTGTTGGTTGATTTCTGGATTTTCTATTCTATTCCATTGATCAGTGTGTCTGTTTTATGCCAGTACCATATTGTTTGGGTTATTACAGCTTTGTAGTATAGTTTAAAGTCAGGTAGTGTTATGCCTCCATCATTATGTCATTTTGGATGAATATGGAACATCACATATTCTGTTAAGGAAAAAGAAAAAAGAAAAAAGAAAGAAAGAAAAAAGGAAGGAAGGAAGGAAACCAATAAAGAGGCTCCCCGGGGCACTTGTGGGCTTTTCTGGATTTGTATCATAAAATGTCCTTTCTGAAAAATTCATAACAGTGCTGAAAATAAAATTTGTGTCCTGGGAGTGTCAACCAGAGAATGCATCACTGCTCATTAAACTGGTAGAATAAACTTGGTGCCCCCAATGACCTTTGCTCACATCAGCACTAAATGATCTGTCCCAATCAGATCTATCCTCAAATACATCAATGAGCGTCTTCTGTTACCTCGAGGAGCCACACAGCCCCTTCTCCAGTTTTCGTCTCCACTAGACGTGCAAGTACCCAAAGTGGGGGGCTGGGGAGGACTGCGCTCTTCAACGTCTTGTGCTTTAGGGCATGCAGAGACCCCCCACGATGACAGGCTGTCATTCACCCTCAGCAATTCTGCACACGTGATCACTCGGCCTCACGACGGCCCTGCGTGGGGGCATCGTTCCCCCCTGGCTTTTCCCAAAGGAGGAAGGAGCCTGAGAGGGGCAGAGCCACTCTGTCACTGGAAGTGGAGTTAGCCCCTGGGCCTACAGGCTTCTGCAGCCCAGCTCCCTCTCTTCGGCCACCTGTCCCCTGTGCTGTGTCCCCTGGGCTTCCAGTTCAGCATACTCCAGGGAATGAAACACAGGCCGAGGCGCTGTGGCTGCCATCTGAGTCTGTCTGCTGCTCTGTGCACACGGTTCTGAGCCAACCACATCATTTAGTCAGACATTGGACAGGAGGTGGCTTTCTAATCCCGTCATTTTGTTTTCAGTGTTAGCTGGAATTCTCTGTGACGCAGAGCTTTTCCTCATCAGTAACTCAGTTTCCTGAAACCGCGTTCATACAGGAAAGGCAGGAAAGTGCCCGAGTCTCCCTGCCATTTATCAAATCAGCGTTCTGGGTTTGTACCCTAGAAAATCCAAGGGGACAAACGCTTTCAGTTTTCTCCTCTTTGGCATACCATGGTACACTTGGGGACTTTAATTTCTGTGTGTTTCGACTGATTGCACCGCGGATGGTGACTCGGTAGCTCTCGGTTTTGTGGCCGTTTCTTTGCCGATTTTGTGGCTCTAATTCCAGAGAACTGGCGCGCTGTGGGAGCTTTGTCTTAATCCTGCACTTACTGTTTGGGATTCCTTGATCTGAGGCTCTGTGTCTTTCCACAAGTCTCAGAAGTCCTCATTTCTTTTTTTTTTTTTTTT